CTGCTGTGTTCATCTAGCTCTATACCTTGTTATCTCAGATTCTCTAGCATCTGTAGTTCCTACTATCTCTGAAACATTCTAATCCCATCAGGAGTAACAGTCAGCATTTAGCAAGTGCTCAAACCATCTCCTGCTTCCCCAGGCCAGATGCCACACAAACTTGTGTACAATAGATACAACTATGTGACACCATAGTGCTAAAATTTTAATGTATGTAAAAACTGTGTATAAAAAAAGAGACTACTGTAAAACTGTACTTTGGATTCAATCGCCACTTCAAACTGTGCTACTGTGGATGCTCAATAAATAGGCTATTATCACCACTCACCAATCTTGGTCATTATTGGACACGATCCCAAAGTGGTATTTACATCTGCAGCCCCCAGGTGCCAAGCTTTCAAATTCCCTCCTAGATGAAATTGTTCAATTACTTAAATGTGAGAGTCAGAAAATCTGAATTTATTGTGTGGCTCAGCAGTTCGCACTGCTGCCTCACAGCACCAGGACCCCAGGTTCGATTCCAACCTCAGGCAATTGTCTGTGTGGAGTTTGCACATTCTCCCCATGTCTGCAAGGGCTTCCTCCAGTTGCTTTGGTTCTCTCCCACAGTCCAGAGATGTACAGGCTAGGTGGATTAGCCATGCTAAATGCAGGGTGACAGGGATAGGGTAGGGGCGTGGGTCTGGGTGAGATGCTGTTTGGATGGGCGGCATGGATTCAATGCGCTGAATGGCCTGCTTCCACACTGAATAGATTCTATGATAACTTGTGTGTTTTAGAGGTATATCCTTTAGTTTCAGGAATGAAACTTTTAGGTTAAACGTATGATAAATCAAAAAGCATGTTTTAGACTTAGTAAACAAAAGTGAATGCAAATCAAATGAGCCTGGCTTAATTAAATTTATAAGATAGATCAGTCAGTTTGGAACACGCAGAGAGAAACCATCTGGAGGGAATCGACCAGGGAACCAGCAAGTGTATAAAAATAGCTCAGGGAGCAGAGAGGATTATTGAGAAATCAGTTCCTGATTCTTAAATCCCATACATGAGCTGAAAGAATTCACAGTTGAGGTCTTTGAAGAAAAACTGGAGGCCTGCTTAGCCAAAACTAATGGAGCAATCCTTATCAAATGTCATACATTGGAAAATAACTTTAACAGTGAACATTCAAAGTATCTTCTGGAGAGCTACAGTATACTTCTGAGTTAGTCCCAGAAAAAGTGAATGAGCCTTCAAAATTTCATAGGATATGGGAAATCTTGGGGTGGAGGAGTTGGGCTAAAAGTGAAACTGGATTCACAGCATAATCAAATATAAACTACAGTGCCAAATCAGTTGTGTTTATTTTTATTTATGTACCGTACACACTTGTGTAAAAGTCGAATTTTTTAGACTGTTTAAGGTTAAATTTATGGGGCCAACTATTACATGGATACCACTTATGAGGGGCTGAACTTCATGCTACAGTCCAAAATACCGTATCATTAGCAGAAGCCCAGTTGATCTCTGAAACGAATAAAAAAAACACAACGAATGACGGTAATTACTGTAATATCTTATCTTCTAGTTCAGCAGGCAGCTTTTGTGCAATCTTAGTTCTCTGCCAAAGCACTAAGTCATACGTTCTCATGAACCTTGTGCACCATCCTGCACTCGCCTTAAAATTTGAAATTCCAACCTTCTTTGATTCCTTTCATACATGGAATCAGATGCCTTCATGACTAATACATTTTACATTTTGACAATTTTCAAGTACCCACTCAGCAACTTTTTTCTCCAATTGTGGCCACTTGTTAGATTTACCCCTGTTGGCACACTTTCGTTTTGGCATTGTCTGAAATTGATTCGATATCTTTCTCCGGTCTCTCAAGTTTCTCCGAAACACAAAATTCTCTTGCTGCTACACAGTTATTTGTCTTCTCTACAACTTCAATAACTTTCAGTTTAAACACTGCTGTATATTTTTTGTTTTTTCTGGAGGGCATTTTTACACAAAATTAAAAAGAAATTTCAAAACGCATAATAGTATGAAAAAAATTATTAATTTCCTCACCATAACATTTACGTACAGGATAATATCTTGACTCACAAATCTTGATCTGTTATCTGTGAAGAACTAGGGTCGACTTTTACATGAGATATATGGAAAATTCCAAATTTTTTGGCCAAAAATAGGGGGTCAACTTTTACATGAGATCGACTTTTACTGAGTATATATAGTATATATTTACAGTTGTTTTAGAAAGTGAAATCTTGTGGCCTAAATTCTTCAGTTAAATCACACAGTGCTCGGTTTTCTTTTTGAATATGAATGGACACGAACAGGATCATAACAGCTGCCAAAAGCAGAGGATATCTGTTTAATTGTGACACAGCGCACATTTGAGCCCACCTTCCCAAAATTCAGTGCCATACTGATTTATTTTTGATAGACAATCTAATTTATGCACTAGTTCAGTTCAGGAATTCTAGGTCTGATAAATGTATGGTATATGTTGCCCTTCAATAACTGAACTTACAGGTGCTACAAATATTCTTGTTTAAACAAACAAGAAACACAACGCTAAAATGAGGAATCAAAGATTCAGCAAAATGGAAATCAAACTTCTGCATAGTTCCTACTTGGCAGCATGTTACCACTCCATATTTTATCTGCAGCACTGTGACATGATTGGGAGATTTAAATACTGAAGAGACTGGCTCTTTTTGCCACACGGGGAGATTAAAGAAAATTGTAGGAAAGGTAGGGTGCTGGGAAAAGAGCATTGAAACAGAACATATTAGGCCCAAAATAAAACATCAATGGGGTTAGAGGTCTACAGATTTCCTGGAAATGTATGCGACAGAGCTGTAGAACAGAACCAATTCTTCCACCGCCTGTCTTAAAAAAAAGCAAGCATATGTTAGGTACAGAGCATTAAAAACAGCCCTTCAAGAGCATAGTGTAGAGGGGTGCTTTAAAAAGATATGAGGGCAACAAAGTGGGGCCACAAAATATCTTTGGCAGATTGGATTATTGAAATTTGTATGGTATTTTGTAAGAATATTGGGTGCAAGAGGATAACAGGGAAAGATTAGAGCCTATTAGAGGCCAAAGGAGTAATCTGTGCATCGAGCCAGCTGAGATGAATGAGATCTTAAATTAATATTTCTTATTTGTACTCACAAAGAAGAAAGACATTGTAGTTGGCATTTTCAAGCATATTAAGATTAATTAGGAGGAGATATTAGATGTTTTAGCAGGCATAAATGTGCATAAATCCCCAGGGCCTTAGGAGATGTATCCCACGCTGCTATGGAAGGAAAGGAACGAGATTGCTGGGGCCCTAACAGAGATATTTAATACTTTGCTGGCTGCAGGTGAAGTGCCAGATGACTAGAGGATAGCTAATGTGGTTCCTTTGTTCAAGGAGGACAGCAGGGATAGGCCAGGTAATTACTGACTAGTTAGTCTGATGCCAATGGTAGAGAAGTTATTGGAAAAAAATTCTGAATGACAGGATTAATCAACACTATAAAGGCAAGGATTGATCAGGGTTAGTCAGCACAGATTTGTTGGAGGGAGTTTCTGTCTAAGTTAATTGAGATTTTTTTTTTAAAAAAAGATGACTAAACATCTTGATGAGAGTACTGCAGTTGTTGTTGTTTACATGGACTTCAGTAAGGTCTTTGACAAGGTCTCACATGAAGGCTGGTCCAAAAGCTAAGAACTCATGGGATCCAAGGCAAGTTGGCAACTGAATCCAAAGACTGATGGAAGGAGGGTTGCTTTTGAGATTGGAAGCCTGTGACTAGCAGCGCACCGCAGGGATTGGTGCTGGGACGCTTACCGTTTGTTACGTACATAATAGTTTGGATATGAGTGTAGAAGTTATAGTTAGTAGGTTTGCAGATGACAAGAAAATTGGTGGTCTTGTTGCTAGTGAGGAGAATGGCCTTAGGCTACAGATCAGCTGGTGAATTGGGCAGAGCATTGGCAGATGGAATTTAATCCTGATGAATGTGAGGGGATTCATTTTGGAAAGTCTAATAAGAGAAGAATTTACATAATGAATGGCAAGCCCCTAAGGAGTACCGAGGAACAAAGGAACCTTGGTGTACAAGTTCTTGGATCCCTGGAGGTGTCAGCACAGGTAGACATGGTGATGAATAAGGCACACAGTATGCTTGCCTTTATTAGCTGGGACATAGAATATAGGTTCAGAGAAGTCTTGTTGCAATTTCATGGAGCACTGATTAAGCCACAGATGGAGTATTGTGTGCAGTTCTGGTTGTCACACTATTGGAAGGATGTGATTGCACTGGAGGAGATTCACCAGATGTTACTTGGATAGAAAGTCTCAGTTTTGAGGAGAGACCGGATAGACATGGTTGGTTTTCCTTGGAGCAGAGGAAACCAAGGGGGAGGGATCTGACTGATGTAGGCAAAATTATGGGAGGCATAAATAAGGTAGATTACAAGACTCTTTTCCCCATGGCAGATGTGTCTAAGACTAGAGTTTATGGTGAAGGGTAAGTGGTTTAGAGGGGTTCAGAGTAAAACATTTCTTTTTACCCAGAGGGTAGTAGAAATACGGAACACTACCTCAGAGGGTGACAGAGGCAGGTATTCTTGCAAGAAGCAGCAACATCTGGACAAGCACTGAAAATGCCAGGGAATAATAGGCTGTAAACCAAGTGCAAGTAAATGGGATTGGTATAGTTTAGTGCCTGTTGGTCAGTACAGACATGGTGGACTGAAGGGTCTGTTTATATGCTATATGACTCTATGACTCTAAATGTAGTCATGGTTAAAGCGGCAGTCAGAAGAAAATTAGGATGGAAAAGAATCTCAGATATTGCTGGGTTTTTCCCAATTGTTGAACATATCAAGCTGTTTCAACAAAATATCAACAAACCTCAAGATAATCACAATTTGATTTTAAGGGTGAAAACTAACAACATATTCACAAACTCACGTTGCACCAACTGTTCTCAGTCTCAAAAAGGCAGGAGTGAACTGATAACGAACAAAACGTCCTGAGCTGGTATCTATTTCGCCGTTCTCATCATCAGTGTCATCTTCTTGCTCTGAAAATGAAAACAGAAATTCAGAACATTGAGAGTTTAAAACACCTCCAGTACCAACCCAACTACCTATTATTCATATGAGGCATTTGATAGTTAAGTTGGGGGCAAAATATTTGGCAGAAGCAGTAGTCTTGGTAAGAGGAGATGGGAGAAAGGGGTTTAACGGGGGAAGCTGAGTGAGGGAGAAAAGAGACCAAATTGAAAGTTCAAGTATGCCCACTACATCAGGGGTCACCGGTTTGGAATCAGATGCATCTCCATAAATCCACTGTCAACAGACAAGACTGCTGATGCAAATTGTAATGCTTCCTCAGGCTCAGATCATACAGTGCAAATTGCTTGCTAAACATGGTACACTTTCGATATGTTGATTCAGTCACTGAGGTATTTAGAAAGAGAGTGAAATAAAGTACCACAGCAAATACCAAATAAAATTTGAATACTTTTTCAGCTTGCTCAGGAATTGCCAAATAGACTCAATACTCAGTAACCGCAAAAGGCCTCAAAAAATGAAATTGAAATTTTTTGTACTGAGCCAGTTTATAACTAGAAACATAGTCTCTGATGTAAATACTGAAAAGCTCAATAGCCATACAGGTACACTGAGGCTTAAATTACAAAACATTAGGCAGGTAATTGCCAACTCTAAAATTGTGTGCTTCAATTGGCCCTTTGAATTTTTAAATAATTTTACGGTTTCCACAAAATAACTTTATTCAACTCTAGTGAGCAGCACCTGCTCAGTATTTGTGAATATTATAGAATTTGACAAATGAAATTTGGATCTTAAAATTCAACTGAAAATAATCAGACCCTTTATGAAAGCATTTGATTCTGGCATCCATCCATCTCAAGAGACAATGGAATCCCAACACAGAATAATCAGTGAATAGCAACTCTCAGAATAGGACATTAAACATAATGGCGTTGGCATGTAGTCTTGCCAAATTGAACAGCCTGACATCAGTTCTGGCATACCGGTTGACATCCACAATGGAATCAGAAAGCACACAATAGCAGCATGATAAAAATAAGTCAGAGAATTAATGCCAAAGCACAGTCCTGCTTTACCCCACTGATAATCTCAAAAGCATCTGATGTATGATAACAGAGGAAATTCTGCACATTCTTGTGGAAAGAGGAAATGATACTTATGATTCCATGTAGGTAGCCTAATTGCCACAGCAGTTTAAAGAGTCCATCCCTGTTGACAATATCAAATGTTTTGGTGAGATCTATGTCGTCAAGATCGAGTGGTCAGTGCTGTTGCAGCACTTCCTCTGTAATGATCAGGAGTGGGAAAACGATGTCAACTGTCAACCTGCCTGCTCTTATGTTTCATCAAGAGTAGACGCATGATATCAGGGACTGCAATGTGGTCAAAGGAACACATTCAGCACATTCCCTATGGTAGAAACACAGGAACAGGAGTAGGTCAATCACTTGAGCCTGTTCCACCATTCAATGTGATCACGGTTATGGCCTAATCCATACACCTGCCTTTGGCCCATATCCATTTGCTTAACAAAAATTTACCTATCTAGGATTTAGATTAACAAATGATCTAGCACCAACTGCCATTTGTGGAAGACAGTTTGAAACAACTATCATACTTTGTGCAAAAATGAATCTTAGCATTTCTCCTGAATAGTCTGGCCTTAATTTTTAGACTATGCTACCTTGTTCTACAATTGAAAAAGTTTAACTTTATCTACCATGTCTTTTCCGTTAACATCTTGAAGACTTCAAACAGATTAATCCTTAACATTCTAAATTCTAGAGAAAACTGGCCTACTTTGTATAATCTCTCCTTATAACTTAAACATTGAAGTCCAGGTATGTAACCTACATTGTCCTCCATCCAAGGCCAATTTATTCTTCCTAAGGTGTGCTGCCTAATTCTGCTCACAACACTCTAAGTATGGTCTAATGAGGGTTTTGCATTACTGCAGCATAACTTTTTCATCCTTGTACTCCAGTACTCAGATATAAAGGCCAGCATTTCATGAGCCTTCTTGATTATTTTCTGCACCTGTTTGTGACATTTTAAAGATCTATGCACCTGAATCCATAAGTCTCTTTAGACATCCAATGTATTAAACTTAATGTGATCTACAAAGAACCCTGACCAATCCTTTTTGGTTCAAAATGGATAATCTGACACTTAATAGCACTGAAATCCATCTGACACATTTTTTTCCCATTCAGCTAGTCTTTGTAATTTTATGTAATTTGTAATTTTATGCTATCTATCCAGTCCCCAATGCTGCCTAACTTCGTACCATTGGCAAATTTGGACGTATGACTTTCTATGTAATTATCCAAGTCATAAGCAAATAATGTGAAAAATTGAGGCATAACACCACCGTGAGACACTACTGGTCACAACATGCCAATTTGAGTACTTAGTATTAACCCTATTTTCTGTTGCCTGCCACACAACCAATTTCCCAGCCACAGCAGCAATTTGCCCTTAATTCCATGGGCTTCTACTTTAGTTAAGTCTCTTATGCAGAAATTCATCAAATGCTTCCTGGAAGTCCACATAAGCAACATCCACAGATATTCCCCTGTCCACTATCTTGGTCACCTCTTTAAAAAATGTAACGAGATTTGTCAGGCATTACTTACCTGTCATGAATCCATGCTGGCTTTCCCTGAGCAGCTGAAAATTTTCAAGGCGTTCAGTTACCCCATTGTTGATTATAGACTCCAACAATTTCCCTACCAGAGATGTTAGGCAAACTGTTCTTTAATTCCCTAGTTTTCCTCTTTCACCCTTCTTAAAAAGGGGGTGTAATGTGTGCAATTTTCCAATCCAGAGCGATGTCCCTTGTATCTAGGGAACCTTGAAATATTATAATTAGGGCATCTACAATGTGCTCCCTAACTTCCCTGAACACCTTCAGATGGAAATATTCAGGTTCTGGGGATTTGTCATTCTTTAGTTCTATTAGTTTTGTCATTATCAATGTTTTACTTACATTAGTTTTACTTAGTCCCTGTTCCTGATCCACTATTAATTTCCTTCAGATTTCCAGCAAGCTATCTTCCTTTTCTGCTGTAAATACTCAGGCAGAGAAATGATTCAAGTACGTCTGTCATTTTCCCATAGTCATTGCCAGTATTCTCACTTTCAATCTTTAGTGGGCCAACATTGCTCCTGACACTTACCTTCCCTTTAATATAACTATGAAATTTCTTCTTATTCATTTTGAGGTTCCTTTTAAATTTCTTTTCATAATCCCTTTTAGTCTCTTATTAGCTGCCTTTTGCTGGTCCTTGTATCATTCCCATTCAGCATGACCTGTGCTATCTTTTAGCCCTATCTTTTAATTTATGTTGTCCTTTATTTCTTCTGCTGTCAATGGCTGGTTTCTCTGTGAATTGTAGCTTTTTCTTCTCAGGGGTATAAATTGGTTCTGTATTGCATTAAATGTTTTTTTTAAAAGATCCTCCACTGCTTTTCAATTGTTTTACTCATTAGCAAATTTTCCCAGTTTTCTGTGGACAGTCTGACTCATCTCATTAGAGTTGGCCTTACCTAAATCTAAAATTCTAACAGCTGAATCATGCTTTTCGCTTTCAAACACTATAAAGAACTTGATCACATTATCAACAGAATTTGATAAATATTCACGCACAATTAGGTTATTAATTAATTGTGGATCATTGCTCATTACTAAATTCAATATTGCTTGTGCCCATGTTGCATCCAGGACATATTAACGAAGGATGCTATCTCCAACACACTCTAGAAATTCACTACCATTCTGGCAGGTGCTTGTTTGCCTCTCCCAATCTATGTTAAAGTTAAAATCCCCCATTAATACTACACTGTGTTTGCTGCACATTTGTCTAATTTCTGCATTTATACAATCTAGTACTTAAGGAAATTTTTACTGTTCATTTACAGGATGTAGGCAGTACTGACTGGGTTAGTATTTATTGTCCATCCCATCTACCCTGGAGAAGGTGGTAATGAGTTGCCTTCTTGAACCACTGGAGTCCTTGGAGGTGCAGGGACACAGTGCTACAAGGATGACTGTTCTAGGAATTTGATTCAGTGATTGTTCATTCACTGTGTAATGGTGTTCGAGTCTTGGAGCAGAACTTGCAGGTGGTGGTGTTTCCATGTTTTGATGTCCTTGTCCTACTGGTGGTAAAGGTCACAGGTTTGGAAGGTGATGTCAAAGATGTCTTAGTGAGTTACTGCATTGCATTTTGTAGATGGTACACACTGCTGCCACTGTGCATTGAGGGTGAAGAGAGTACATGTTGAAGCTTCTTGAACATTGTTGGAGCTGCATCCATCCAGACGAGTGGGGAATATTCCATGCACTCCTGACATGCTCCTGGTCTATAGTGGACAGGCACTGGGAAGACAGGAGATGGGTTTCTCACTGAAATATGACAATAATTTTTTCTCTGTGCCAGAAATGACTTCAATCAGCAGAAAGTTTACCCGATACCCCACGGACTCTAGTTTTGCTAACCCTCCTTGATACCATACTCAGTTGAATGCTGCCTTGATGTCAAGGGCAATTACTCTCACTTCATTTCAAGTTCAGCTCTTTTGTCCACGTTTGGACCAAGTGTGTAATGAACTCAGGGGGCAAGTGGCACTGGTAGAACCCAACCTGAATGTTAGTGACCAGGTTATTGCTTTGGAAGTGTCATTTGATAGCATAGTTAATGATTTCTTAGATAAGTGATGACATGTAGGAGCAGAAATAGGCCACTTAGCCCACTGAAATTGCTCTACCATTCAATGAATTCACAGTTGATCTAATAATCCTCAACTCTGCTTTCCTGCCCTGTCCCCATAACTCTTGATTCCCTTACTGGTTTGCCTTTGATTTTTTTTTTGTTAGCCCAAATGAATGACACTTTTCCAGGCTGAATTCCATTTGCTCTGGCTGTGCCCACTTGAGCAGTCTGTTGATATCGTCCTGCAGTTTACAGCCATCTTCCTAACTGTTTACCCTCTACCAACTTTCATGTCACCTGCAAACTTCTTGATCATATCTTCTACAATTGTACAATAACTTGCTACTGTTAACCCATAATAAAACAGGATAGGACAAACCATCACAGTTTGATTTGAAATAAATCAAATCCCACAACACACAAGTGGCTCACTGAGTAACAGAGCCACACAGCACAGAAACAGACCCCTTGGTCCAACTCCTTCATGCTGGTGAAGTTTTCCAAACTAAAGTAGCCCCACTTCTGAAGTGAAAGCAGAAAGCCACCTTCCAGCTTGCAGCATCACCACTACAGAAAGCAGACAGCAAGCATAAATGGGTATTTTTGAGGTTGGCGAGTTTAAATGAGTGGACTGTCACAAGGTGCTAAGCATGTATTTCATTTTCAGGCTACAATAATGGCATTCTTTTCATGCTGTCATTTCAACTTATCCGATTTGAGTCCATGGTAACAAAACAAAAAATGCACAACTCCATCACTTTTCTGATGGTCAGTTGACCAGGTTGAACTTATCCTGCTTTTTGTGCACAAGGCATACCTGGCAATTTTCTACATTGTCAGGTAGATGCCAATACCAGAACAGCTCGTCTAGGGTGTGGTTAGCTCGGGAGCAAGTCTTCTGTATAATTGCTGGATTTTTGCAGGATCCATACACTTTGCAGCATCTAAAGTCTTCAGTCCTTTCTTCAGACTGCAGTGTGATTCAAATTAGTTTTAGATTGTCACTGAGGACCTCAGGAAGAAGATGAAGTTGGAGATCCTTGGAAATTGTTGCAGTCACTGAGGTTCCCTTTGTTTTCACTAGCTCATGTCACAGGACAATGCCCTGACCAAACACTCGCTTAAAATTTAACTTGTTTAAAATTTAAACAAAGTCTGGCAGTTATCTGTCAACCAGCACTGACGGGTGCATTCTCTACAACAATACCTCTAACAATCACAGTTCACTTTCCAACTATTCAGCACTGTCCCCTCACATGTTGATTCTTCCATTGTATTGGTATTTTATCAAAATGTCCTGATATGTGCAAGATAGGAAGCAATGGCCCAGTGGCATTATCACTGGACTGTTAATCCAGAGACCAAGATAACATTCTTGGTTTGAATCTCGCCACAGCAGATGGTGGAATTTGAATTCAATTAAATATCTGAAATTAAGAATCTAGTGACAGCCATGATTCCATTGCCGATTGTCGGAAAAACCCATCTGATTCACTAATGTCCTTTAGGGAAGGAAACTGCCATCCTGACCTGGCCTGCATGTGACCCCACACCCACAGCAATGTGCGTGGCTCTCAACTGCCCTCTGGGCAATTAGAGACGGGCAATAAATGCTGCCTAAAAGCAACACCCTCGTCCCTTGAATGAATAAAGAACAGATGAAAAGCTCTGACAGCAATCAGAATATAATAATACGATTACTCCTAATGGCCAAATAGCTGTGTTATGGTATTCATTTATATTTCATAAGCAATTTACTAAATTATAACTTTAAATGTCTCTTACAATTTCCATAACTCATTGGTCTCAAGTGCTCATTAAAGCTTAAAAGATAGAGAGTCATACCTAGTAGTGATGAAAGCCATTGAACTACTGACTAAAGCCAGTTTTTTGTATTCATTCATGGGATGTGGGGCATTGCTGGCTGAACCAGCATTTATTGCCTGTCCCTAGTAAGTTCCTACTTAAGCCATACTCAGTTGGTTATGATAATGAAAGCTGCCTACAGTCTTTCAGACTACAGGAGCCTTTTCCCAAGTGGCAACATACCTGAGGCTGGTGGTTTGGCAATCTCAAACAGAACAGTGCCAGATTCCATGTCTCGAATTTTAAATCGTGTAAAGTCGATGTTGTAAATGTTGTCTTCAGGTTTGCACAAGTAAGCTGGAAGAAATAATTCTTAATGTCATTGTTAAACCTTTATTAATATAAAGAAAGTATCAAAAATGTGTGAAACAAGGTGGCAAATTTTTGAGTCAAATCACTCAGCTGAAGCATCTGATCATAAATAGTACAATTCAGTATGGGATCATTAATTTTTAAAAATGAATTCTATTTCTCATTTTAAACAATCGAACTATGCCACAAGATTTCACTCTTTTGTTAAATAAAAGACAATCATTATTGGATATAAGGTAACTAAATAAAATAAACTATTAATTTAACAATATGGATTATACCTACATATGTTATGTACTCAAGCATTTTTTTTTAATATAAGGCACACACCAATCTAAATTTACATTTATAGGGACCACCCATAAGTATGCCACAATGCCCTAGATTATTCATTTCAGCTGTATAGTTTTTTTGGGTGAGTAAGACCCTCCTGCTGCTTAAGAGCCCCATCACTTCAACAAACCTTGGTCACCTTTTGAATTGTCACTTCTTCAGATATTCTGACAATGTCTAAAGCATAGCATTTTAATTACCTTTCCTGTACAATTTCATTTTCCAGAATTGGAAAAACAAAATCACCTGCAACATATTAACATGAACCATAGCTGAAATATTTGCAACAATGGCAAGTTAAGAGTATTTAATGTGCACTATGAAAGACGTGTCAAATTGTAGAAAGTATTACAAATGTTTACGCTCACATCGTCTTAGTCTCCCTCTCTGCAAATTCTTGAAATCATATTCACACGACACCATGAACTTGCCATTACACAGACAAGCCTCCACTATTGCCATCACAACAATCATTGATAAGTCACTTCTGATCACGTCCTTCAATCATTCTTCACCCACCTTCCCCTTCCATGTCACAACTCTACTTCATTTGGTATCCTGCAAAGAAATATTCCTCAGCAATTCACTCTCAACTGCATTCTCAAAATCTGAACTGTCAGGCATTTGACAATCTGTTTAATATTTCTGCAGCTACTGATTTGCTCAACTGGATCTTTGCCTCCACCTCTAACGTCACAGTCCCAAACAAAACTATTTCTTTCTCACTCGTCATTTCCTGTAGTATGGCCCTCATCTCCACTCCCTTTAATTAATGGATCACAGAGTAGAATGGATGGCAAACAACTAGCATCAACATTTGTCCTCAGATGTGCTTAGAAAACAAAGCATTATCAGGTCCAGATTTCATCTGCTAAAACTGCTCTCATTATTCTTGAATTATCTTGAAATTCTAGATAATCCCTAGGTTATTTTAGGTATTGCAAACTATTTGCGTAAATATCTCTCCCATCTTCTTCACCTTCTCAAACAAACATGATGAACTCATTAACCTTTTAATTATCAAAACTGAAATCATTCTAAAGAGAAATGGCTGATGTAGCTGTTCTTGCAGACAGTAGGCCTCTTGTAGTCAAACTATTCTATGATCCTAACAACTGCTTTTGCCACATGTCTTTGTTCCCCTGCGCATCAAGCCAAACTTCATCTGCCTCAGCTCATCAGCTAAAATATCTCATTCATTCTTTGATACCACAAGACTTGAGTAGCTTGCCACATTCTACTATCCCTGAACTTGAGGCCATCTAAAACTCTGCTGCCTAAATCCCACAAAGTTCTGTTCACCCATCACCCCAGTTCTCACGGATTGACATGGCTTCTAATTAAGCAACAACTCTTTTAAAATCCCTTCATTACGCCACCCCTTTACCTATTTCCACAATCTCTTCCATCACCACAATCCTCATGCAATTACACATCTAATTCTCGCGTCCTGCACATCCATAATTTTAATTGTTCCACCATGATAAGCCATACTTTCCGTTCCTTCTGCTGTATTGTCTGGAATTCTCCTCTTAAACTTCAACTGTCTTGCCCTCTTTTCTCCTTTAAAATGGACTTTAAAACCTAGCTCCTTTTAAGGCCATTTGCCCTAAAATCACATGTAGCTCATTGTCAAGTCTTGCTTTATAACACACCTATGAAGTGCCTTAGAAGGATTTTTATGTTAAACTGTCTTGTATAAATACAAGCTGTTATTGTGGGTGATATGATTTTGTAGGTACAACATAATCAGTTTTCATTGCATATACAAAAATAAGATTTGTCATTTAACTGTGATAAGCAATGCCAATTAATTCATGATCAATTATCTCATAAATTATCTTGGCAAACATCTAATCCAATGTGAAAAGTATAATAACATCTCAGAGCAGGGTTAATTAAAAATAGCTACACGTAAAACAGAAGAGTGAGAGAAGATAGATTTAAAAGGGATCTGAGGGGTAACCTTTTCACACAGAGAGTGGTTCATGTGTGGAATGAACTTCCAGAGAAAGTGGTAGGTGCAGGTACAGTTATAACATTTAAAAGACATTTGAATAGGTACTTGAATTGGAAAGGTTTAGAGGGATATGGGCTAAACGCAGGCAAGTGGAATTAGTTTAGTTTGGGGAAACTTGGTCACTGTAGACAAGTTGGACCATACTGTATGACTCTATGACTCTCTACAGGGTCTCTAACTTTGCTGTAGCATTTGGGCACCTGAGCAGACTTTTGGTTCTTTTACTTACCAATTCAATTATATTGCTGGTGGCAATCTCAAAAATGAGTTTGATAAAAGTCACCTTCATTATAACCTGATGTTTTACTAGAAAGACCTCTCGTACACAGAAAAGAGCATTTTAATATAAAAAGGAGAACTAAAAAAAAGTGAGCCAGGCTCTTAATCACTTCTTAGGAAGTGAATTGAAAATAAGAAGTAAATATTAGCAAAGAAACAAACATGTGACATGGTAGACAGCGTGCAAAAGATAATCTTTATTTTGTTTCCTTTTGACTTTCAGAAAATTAAATAATTATCTGAATGTTCACACAAACAAGGTTCAAGAAAATAACTCAGAGAAATATGGATTCCAGACATTGGTTTGATTGGTAAGATTACGATCAAAGAACTAAAGATACTTTCCAACTATTTCTCTTTCCTTTACCCCACTCTGCCACTTCTTGCCTGCCACACACCCGCATTCCACCCAAATCAAACACAGCATCATTCCTACCAACATTTTCCCTTCTTTTGTACAGATCAGGAACATGCTATTGTAAGAAGCGATAATTCTACCAGTCTTGGCTACTACTACAGACATTGCAAGACTGAAGAATTTCAAACTGAATATTATTTTCACAAACTACCATCTCCTCTCTCCCCCAACCACACTCCCTTCCCACTCACTCTCTTCCCAATGAATTTCATAAAAAAATAATTCAGTTGCAAATTTTGCAATTTTCTTTTTATCTGATCAGGGATGTAGGTGCTGCTGGCTAGGCCTCCTCCTTTCCTGTAGTGAAGGTCATGGGTTTTGAAGGTGCGGTCAGAAGACAGTTGGTGAGTTATTGTAGATTTTGTAGATGATGCACACTGCTGCTACTTTGCATCAGTGGTGAAGGAAGTGAATGTTGAAACTGGCGAATGCAGTGCCAATCAAGCAGGCAGCTTTGTTCTGGATGGCGGCAAGCTTTTTGAATGCAGGAACTGCACTTATCCAGGCAACTGGAGAGTATTCCATCACACTCCTGACTTCTGCCTTGTAGATAGTGGACAAGCACTGGGGAGATCAAGTAATTGACCTCTATACATAATTTGCAACCTCAAACCTACTTTTGTAACCACTGTACTTATATGGCTGGTCCACTTCACTTTCTGATCATTGGTAACATACAGGGTATTGATAGAGGAGGATTCGGCCATGGTAATTCTATTGAACATCAAAGAGCAATAGTTAGATTCCTTTATCAGAAATGGTCATTGCTTGGCACTTGTGTGGCATGAACACTAGATATTGTCCAGGTCTTGCTGCAAATAGACTGCTCCAGAATCAAAGATGTCCTAAATCTCTTGAAAAATGACCGGTAAATACAAGATTTCTGAAGTATTAACTTTCATATATCACCAAAAGATAATGTTGTCACTAAAATTAATTTACAAACTCTCAGGGAAAATATTTACAGGACATAATTTCACACCTGCAAAACTAACTCAAGTTTTGACATGTACAGGAATGCTCTACACGATGCTTAAGTACTTTGACATTGAACAAATGATAGAGAGTTTCTGTAACAGTAGATTAATGTCAGCACAATTGAGTATACAATATCTATTTTAAAGCGGTCAATAATTGAAATATAACACTACATTGTTAATGATAACTGATACATTCAATATAAATTTTTTACATATGAACAGTAGTGATAACAGAAACATTCTTGATCTTTCCAGTTGGTCATGTCAGCTACATTAACAGGTCAGCAGTTGAAGCACACTCTCTCATGTGAACAGAAAATCAGGTTTCATGTCAGGTAGTTTTAAAATATAGACAAAATTCAGACTTCTCACATCCACAAAATTGAAAATGGTGCAAATGCTCAGCAAATTGAGTAGCATCCTCAGAAATAAAAACAATTAATGTTTCTGGTTGATCGTCTTTTATCAGAACTGGAGAATGCGCTAGAACAGGTTTTAAGCAAGTGCAGAGGTAACGGGGAGGAGGAAAGAAAACAGAAGGAAAGGCCTGTAACAGGGTAGAAGGCGGGAGGTGACCAAATGACAAAAAGGGGATAATGGTAAAAGGCTGTTAAGGAAAACAATAAAAAAAACCAAAAGAAAAAATCTAGAGTAGATGAAAATTACAAAAATAGATTCACCAACAGCAACTGCTATTTTTAATAAAAAGACACTGTGCCTATGACCAAAGTTGCTGAACTGTTGAATTCAATGTTGAGTTCAAAAGGCTGTGAAATAACCTAATCAAAAGACAAGGTGATGTCCCTCAAGCTTCTACTGAACAGTTGAGCAGGCCAGAGATCAGGGTACGAATGAGACGAATAACTAAAATAAATGACAGGAAGTTGTGGATCACACTTTAAAAATGAATGTGTTTTGGAACCTCCAGTCTGCATTTGACATCTTTAATGCAGAG